CCCCCCCCCCCCCCAACCTAGGTTTTTCAGGGCCTCTATTCGGGTGACGATTATTAGCGCTAACACAGGCCCTGAGTAGTAGTTCACGGTGGGAAAGCTGCCTTTGGATATCTGCATGTCTAAGATACAGTATGGTAGAAAGGGATTCTATCTGCCTGGCTCGGATGCTTTTTTTTGCAGGAGAGAGAGACAGACAGAGAGAGAGACAGACAGAGAGGGACAGCCAGAGGGACGGGGGGGGGGCGACAGACTTCTGTGAAATAATACACTCTTTTTACCATCGCCAAGGAAGTGAATCGACCAGCCCCCCGAGGCCAACAAGTTGGAAGGAAGGTGATATTCCTCGCCCTCACGGCGTGCATCGCTCAAACAATTAGCCTGGAGTCAACCGGGCGCCAGCACGCACTAAATGGGCAATTTTGTGGTGATGCACGTGCTCACCGGCCCCTTCTCAAGCGTCGAATGAATGTGGGGCGTGTCAAATGATTTGCCATTATCCCCACAGCGACAGGCGCCTATCGGTTGTCGAATTTCATATCATCAGCGATCTCTCGAGTTCTAGAGCGCCCGGATTCTACTTGAACGCGCCGATTGGCTCTTACGATCAACAAAGCACGAGGAACACCCAAAAGGAATTTCTACCTTGCGCGTCTCTTTTTCCCCAGACGCAAAATGGAGTTTCAGTTAGGGCCATCCCGCAAAAAGCGTAAAGACGCTGCCAGGAGGGCGATGGAATTGGGGAGGACGCAGCTGGGCTCAGATGCGCGACCTAAAAGAGGGGGGATTGGCCTGTCGAGATTCTACACGTCACCACAGCAATCAGCGCAGCACGCAGCACTGCGCAGCGCAGCAGTCTATCTGGCTGGTACTACAAGCAGCAATGGGCACATAGCACGGCAGTGACGGCGAATCAGTGCTGTGAGTCCGTGTGACCGCCGAATTCAGCAAAGTTCTTCCCTTACGCATCACACTCGTCGCCGTACAGCAGTAGTCGATTGGAAGGCTTGGGTCCCGTACATGTATATGGCCATTGTTCAGCTATTGTTCGGAGCTATCGTCCGCTGTCTTGGATAGCCGTATGTGTGGCTCTCATGGTCATGGTTTGAATCATCGCAACGAGCATGTTCAGGCCCTGTTTGCGCCTTGGGTTGAGTTTATTATATCGATTCCCCCCGCCTGTGCGCTGTGTAGAGCCAACCCTCGTTAAAATATCTTCTTTTTTTTTTTACACTCATGTCGTGGACAAGGGCCACCCTTAGCAGTAGATCTGGACCAAGAATTGTTGTGCAATAGTGCAACCGATAGGAAGGAGAAGAACAGTACATCTCGCCACAAACTAACAATGTTCCAACGAGAAACAGGAGTGATGACCCCACCCAGTGGACAGAAAAAAACAGTGTATCTCGATTTACAGTACATATCATCGACGTCCGTTCTCCGGTAAGTCCCTGCTGCAGTATTTTGTGGCCTTTAGAAACAAGAAAATCAGCAGTACATACGTCAAGGGTTACCGTAAGGTTGCAAGTCATTGCACGGTCGCTCTTCCAAATATTTTGCCATATATTTTTCGTCGCACAGGGGTGAGATGAGCGATGACCGTGGACCGTGCGATGGCTCCGGACCTTCGTGCGGAAATCGAACTAAATCAAATGGTTTTGATGCCTGCCTCTGTGTGGTGTTCGTTGGAGTCGAGTAGGCTACTGAATACTGCTATTCTTCGAGGTCGTGGTAGGACCAAGGTCGTAGTACGCCAGTCAGGTGATCGATCAGCGACCGTCGGGTGTCGCCACCGTATGATGGTGTATGTTGTCCCTGGGATATGCATTTACCGACACACGAGAAAAATCAGCTGCCGTATGTAGCTGTTCAAGCGGTTCATTTAGAGAGCTTGCGTCGCAGAGAGCAACCGTAGGTTTCCACTAGAGCGGGACTGCCGGGGGGACTCGAGTACATACCGATGACGGGGGCTCAGCTGGAATTGGAACTCATGGGTTTTCTAGCTGAACACCGCAAGCAAGTCCTAGTGTGTGACGCGGGCGAGCCCATGAAAGCAGCAGCATCCATGGCAGAATCAGCATTTCCAAGGGTGGGTTTCGAATAAATCAGATCTCGAATTCACATTCAGAGTTGGTTATAAGACCTCAAGATCCACAGAACTCTCTTGTTAATTGGCTGAAAAGTTATTCCACCGGTCGAATCTTTAGGACTTCAAACAGGGCGACCCAAAACCAGACCGAGTTTTGAAAAAGTCGAAATGAATTTATCGAATCCCGATTTGGGTGAACCGCAACCATAGTTGCGGGACCACGGTCTACTCGCATGCACGGCGCGTGCCCACCTACCCCCATCGACACGAACTCCATCCACCGCCGAGCACAGAGGAGAGACAACACAAAAAGTCAACCCAAAGGAAGGGTGACTACACATCGCATTGTTGGCGAGGGGGTCACCCTCCTCGGGGTGTGAAAGTGTCGGGTCTAATTCTAGTAGAAGCCGAATCAGACCAATAGGCAGCGCTGACGACAGTCTAATGCCTTGATTCTGGCCTCAGGTTCATATGTTTAGGTAAAAGACCAGTGGAAGTCATCAGTCGTAAGATGCGAGTCATCGCATGGTCCGGAGGTATCGCAGCCCGGAGTCATCGCACCCCCGCTCTATAGAAATATAATGACTGAATGACTTCATTCGATTTCCGCAAAGGGTCGGTAGTCATCGCACAGACTCGCAGCCCAGGGTAGATGAGGCGTGAACCATTCGGAGGCAAATTTCACCACTTCAACCATGTCCGCTGTATAAAGCACCGCAACCCATTCGTGGAGGCATGAAGGACAGGGAAAACACATAGGCATTTCCAATGTAACCGAGTTATCGCTTTAGTCCGGGCCTCGCCTTCAAGGATTTATATAGAACCGCGCATGCCGGAGTTGTGCAAGGGTGTGCTTTATTCAGAACCGCGCAGGCCGGAGTTGTGCAAGGGTGTGCGTGAAATCCGCGGCTTCATCTACAGAAAGAACTTCACCAGACTGTTCATCGAACGTCCAGAAGGACGAGTTCTCGGATAGAACGGTCTGGCTGGTCTCTTGTGGCCACGATCACGGCGCGTCGGCCTCTACAAAGAGCGGTGGCCCTGAGAACTCAAAGTACCCCGGGTTGTTCAGACTGCTTCCGCCCGAGACGTCG